ATCATCTTCTTGATCGAATATTTCTTTTATCTGTTTGTAAAGATAATTTTTCTTGATTATGTTATTGACAAATTCATTCACATCTTCGATATCACATATTGAATGAAATTGTTTATTTGATTTATCAATAAAATATTGATTTTGTTCTTTATCTTTATAGATTTCAGCAGTTCTTCTACGAAGGTTTTGAAGAATGTCTTTTTCATTTTGATCATTTAATTTATTTATTTCATTATCAAAATAGTCGCCATCCAGTAATGTTTCGATATAATCTCCGTATGAAAATTTTTCAATGTAACCTAACAACAGTTCTTTTATTAAACATGATACTTTATTTTTATATTTTGATTTTTCATCGAACAGAGAGTTGAAAGCATCATTTACATTATCTATCTTTTTTTGATTCAATTTTATTCTTCTTTCTGATAACAACTGTTTTCTCAACTCCTGTAGTTGTTCCACAGTATATGGTGAATCTAGAAATTCTTGTTTCAAGGTTTGAATCAGCAGATCATACTTCTCACCATCTTCGAATGATTGTTTATCATTATCTTCTTTCATCTCATTTTCAATAATATTATATAATAAAGTATTATATCTACGTTTTCTCAAATTGACTAGATCATTTTTGATTCTATTATTTTCCATCAAAGTTTGATTAAGTCTTTCAATATTGTTTGAGAGAATATTATCATTTGAAAGTGGAACAACTTGTCTGTTATTGTAAAAGTTTGATATTTGTCTTTCATATCTATCATATCTCGCAATTTCAGATTCTTTTTCTATTAGTTGATATCTTCCTCTTCTCATTTGTTGCAATGTGTCAACATTTCTATTTCCTGTAAGGTTCTCATTTTTCAGTTCTTGAATTGCAGTATCTATACATCGTCCATTATTTAATAGAGTTGCAGTATCAATTTCTGGAATTTCTTTACTAATTTTGTCATATTGTTCATTTGATAATGCTTTTAATTGTTCATCATGTTTTATGTTCAATGCAACTTTCTGTTGCTCAGTTAGATTTCTACTATCTCTTATTTCTCTAAACCAACATCTTCCGATTTCTAAAGGACCAATTCATTTCTCATCATGTATTCCTTTATTTATTCGATTGAAATCATTTGTTCCAGGTTGAGTTTGTTCCAATTTCCTGATATGTTCTTCTCTAAGCTCATCGAGTTTCTGTTTATCTTTATCTGTGAATTTAGATTTAGTGATTTCTTTTATCCAAAAATCTTTCAATCTTTCCAAATCTGTTTCTTCTTGAATCTCATTTGAAAATCTGTTGAATTCTGCAATGTAATTGACTAAAAAATCTAATCTGTCTTTTCTCTTTTTTTGAAGTTCTTCTTTCAATTTCTCTATCAGATTTTGACTACCAGTTATTTGTATATACCAGAATTGAAAATCTCTTAATTGATCGATTTCTGTTTCTTCTTTAATTCTATCCTTGATTTCATTGTATCTGATAATCATTCTTTCTTGATTGATACGCAATGTCTGTAATTTACTTTTTTGTTTTTTATTTAGATTTAAATTCTGTATTTCTTTATCTAAACTTCTATCTTCTTTTAATTTATCAAGATCGAACATTTCTTGAATCTTCTTTTTAAGTCTGTCAAACACATTATCACTTTGTTGATACTGAATGGATGCAACTCCTGAAAGAAAAAATTCTAATATTTCATCATCTTTAGTCAGTTTAGAAGATTTAATAACTTGTTTTTGATAATCACAATTTTGGTATTTATTATTTATTTTACATTTAGCTTTCATTTTGAAGTTGAAAGGAGAAATTATGATCTATTTCTTTATTTATATGATTTTTCAAAAAATAATTTAAGTACTAATAAATAATTTAACATAAATCATCTATTAATCTATCTAAACAATAATTGATTTGAATGGATACATCAATTTTATTCCATTATTTGAATTAACATGAATTTAGATAGCAAAAATTCATTAAATATAAATGATCTATTAATTCGTCTAAACAATTGATTTGAACAAATACATTAATTTTATTCTATGAACACAAATTTAGATAGCAAAAATTCATTTAACGTAAATCATCTATTAACCCATCTAAACAATAATTGATTTAAACAAATACATCAATTTTATTTTATTAAATTAAAATACATCAATTTTATTTCATAAATTTAAATAGCAAAATTTATTTTAAATCATTAACTTAAATTTTTACATTTATTTATAGTTTCAGTACTTAATTTAGTTAAATTAATTTTTTTATTTATTTATTATGTGTCTGTGATGTTTTTTTTACATTAATATTTTTAATTGATTATGTAAGTTTGTTGCTCAAGTTAATGTTGGTTTTATTGTATTATTTTTAATAAAAGCCGAGTGATTTTTTTTTGTTTTTTTTTTAAAAAATAACAACATGAGTAATTATCCAAATCTTAAAATTATAGTTTATGAAACTATACACACAGGATCACCTTATGGGCTGCCTGCACGCGATAGAGAACATCAAATAAGAATAAATTCAATTAAAACAAAACATCAAATTTCAGCATTTCCTTTGGTGTCAGTATTTTATCAAACAAGTTTTCGTAATTTTTTAAGTTATCTTGAAGAAAATGCAAAAAACCAACAAACCACAACTGTTATTAAACAAAATCTGGTAATTTTGTTTTTATTAATTTATTTATTATTTTTTATTTTTTATTTATTTTTTATTTTATAGATTAATAAGATTGAACAAGTATTAAATAATTTTGGAGTAAATTTTAATAAAAATGAAACATTTGAGCAAAAAATCAACCGAGTGATCAAAGTCAGCGAGGATCTTATTGAAATTAAAAAATTTTAATTTTTTATATTTTGTTTTTATTGTTTTTTTTTTTTGTTTTTTTTTTATTAAATGTAAAAATATATATATTTTTTATTTTTATTTTTAAATAAAATAAAATATTACAAATATTGTTTAAGTAAATAGTAAATAAAATTAATATGGTCTGTAATTCCTATATCAAATTCTTCGAAATCTATATTGTAGTCAATAAATTCTTTATTATATATCAATGTTCTTTCATAATGTTTGAATTCATCAGTCAAAGAAATGAATTTATTAATAAAAGATTCATTTATCATGTTAATGAATCCGAAGAGCTCCTTGTTATCATAATTGATAACAATTATTGTTTGGTTATTCATGTTGTTATGGTACATTCTTGTACAAATAAGAAGCAACAAAAATA